GAAGAGGCACGATAAGCATTGTGAGAAGCTTCCCTGATGAAAATGAACCTTTCTTGGATGAAAGTTGGGACAGCATCATTGGATGAAAAGAAAACCAGGCAAACTGCAAAGATGTAAAAGTTGAGAAGCCTGTTTATGTCTTTGAACGAATCATGGCTCAGGTTCTTGAAAAGGGAAGACAGAATGAGTGCCATAACTGCCAACACAATCTCACGAGAGAGGAAGAGTTCAGGAGTGCGAATCACATTGAGCACTGTGCGCCATGAGAGGACTGCAACCTCACGGAGCCATGGGTTTGCAAACTTAGGCCCATGGTCTGGCTCATCAAGCTCTTCTTCTTCTATTTCAAACTCTTCATAAGAAGGTGCATATGAGTCTTCAGTGGAAGAGCTGAAGACCACAGGGGTTTTAGTACTACCGTGTCGTCGTGGTGGTGGGTTGAACCGAGGTGTGGGATATTGGCTTCTAATACCTGAGAGGGGTGTCTTTCCAGGGGTCCTTCCTGGAGTTCTAGCAGGAGTCCATGATGGCGGGCGTCGAGGGGTTCCTTTGACACCATGGTAAATCCAGACAGAGAAATCCTTGTAGAACTGTGAAGCTAGACGAGGGTTATAGACACCACTGCTCTGCAGGTGCATTGGTGTTTGATGAACTGATTTCCTTTCCAGGGAGTTGTCAAAATTCTCATCCTCATCCTCAAACTGACCAGATTCACCTGCTCCAGATGGTGTCCTATTTCCCAAGGAAAAGGCTTGACTACGGAGGCTAATTGCGTGCTTGGATGCAGGGGTCTTTCTATAAGGAGTTGGTGTCTTTGGTGTTTTTGCAACTGGGGTTCTGCCCACCTGATCAGGTTTGATGCCATCGCGTTGGTAAATGACCAATGGGTCTAGTCCCACAGTTGATTCATCATATTCTTTAATCACATCCAGGAGATACTCAAGGCCATTCTCACCTTCCGGAACTGGCCTTCCAAATCCAGAAAGATGGGAAGACAAACCATGTGGGCTTCCCAAATATATCAGTCTCCCTCTGCAACCACATGATATTAGATAAATTAATTAATAAGCATCATGTACGTTTGCAGCCCTTAAGCTTTATACATATATATTCGTCTTTGATTAATTTTGGTTTTGGAATATAATGCAGATTAATTTCAGCAACATTCTAGTCAGTGTAGACGAAGAGGGTGTTGCACCATGCACATATATTTGTTATTATTAGTTTGTACCTTGCTAGGATTGTCATGCGGTCTAAGAGCATTTGAATACGATATGAAGGTTGATGGATGGTCATGAGCACGATGCTACCACCTCTAGCTATCTCCTTGACCTTTTCCACGACACTGTAAGCGCTTGTGGAGTCAAGACCAGAAGTCGGTTCATCAAGAAACAGCAGTGAAGGTTTGTGGATGATGTCAATGCCAATTGACACCCTTCGTCTTTCTCCTCCCGACACTCCTCTCCTCCCCTCATCACCGATGTAAGTATGTGTTGCACTCTACATATATATGTGCGCGGTTTCTATTGTATAAATTCATGTATGTTTGATCTAATTTGTGCAATGAATTCCATGCATAAGCATTGAGAAACGGGATTTGAATTACCTGCAAGCCCAGTTGTTCAAGGAGCTCATAGACTCTTCTTCTCTTTTCATCCCTGGAAATGGATGGAGGAAGCCTAATCTCAGCTGCAAACATGAAGGTCTCAAACACAGTCAACATAGGGAAGAGCTGGTCATCTTGCATCACATAAGAGGACACCATCTTCATGTAGCTTGTAGTAACCTGAAAATTATTAATCAATTTTATATATGTAATCTTGTTTCCATTTGTTTCTGAAAAGAGAGAAAAAGGATCATATTGGATATAGATTACTAACCGTTCTTCCATCAATTCTAACAGAGCCTTCCAAACTCCCTTGAGCAATCCGTCCTGCCAAGGCATCGAGAAATGTAGATTTCCCAGCACCACTAGGTCCCATGATGGCCATGATCTCACCTCTCACTGCCTGGCCAGAGATGTCATTAAGAAGATAAGCTTCTTTCTTGATCCAAACCCCATCTTTTTTCAGCTTCTTTGTTACACTGTATGAAAGGTTATTGAATTCAAGGCCATGACCCGGAATCATCTTTGAGGGTCTACGTGGCACAGAAATTTTTGTAGCAACTGATTTGTCCATGTCCAGTAGAGTCTCAAGGCTCCTGTTAGTGTTTGTCCTGCCAAACTTTGCCATTGTGATGATGCTCAGGTGGAGCAACTTTTTGCCCTCCTTTTTGGCTTAGGCCTCAAGAAATTTTTAAGACCTGAGGATTGAACTAAAAAATGGTATAAAAGAAGGAGAGGCCGTGTGAAATGTGGACAAAAGGTGACGGTAAAACTCAAAGTAATTTTAGTCTTGGAAGGTTGTGAGTGTTTGTGGACAAGAGGAAGGAGAATGAGCAATCAGACGGCAAGACTTATGAGAAACTTTTACTGAGCCCGTCTCTCTCACTCTCCTTTGGGTTTGTCAGTAACCAGCTTTGTTATTTCCGGATGGTGTTCTGTTTTCGTTTCTTTGTGCACAAGAGACAACTTCCTCTTATTCGACCAAAAAAGAGGCAACTTCCTCTTCCGCTGGCGGTTGAGCCCCTTATTTTAGAGTGTGAAAAAACCTCATGACAGAATGTTTCCTAAACCTGTCATTGTTATTCTAAAGTAAACTTGAACACTTCTGAAGATCCTGCCAAACTCCCTAATCCAACTTCAACCTTTTTATTGTATACGATTTTATTTTATGAAATATTCTTAGGGACCATTCTTCTAGATATTCTAGGCTGCAGGCTGGGCTTTGTGCGGCAGCAGGGTTATGTTATTCCTCCTGAGCCCTGCCTGCACCATGGCTAGAAACAGATGGTAATTAGTGTCAATATATTCTTCTTTTTCTCCACCTAGTGCTACTGTGGCTGATTGCTGATCCTGCGAGTATTGTTTTACGGGCTAAAGAAGGGAGTAAGTTACTGTCTACATGGAATTTATATACCTATGTTAACTAAAAACCAATATTCTTGTTTGGTGCAATTGGTGTGTGTACTATGAATGCTGTCTCTTAGCTTTTACTTGGTGGATTTTCTTAGAACAACGAAGAAAACTATATAATAAAAAAACATCAAGACAAATTTTAACTCAATTTAATGAACAACAAATATGCATGTTGACAGCAAATGATTTCTGTTGGCAATGGCTCCAAAGTAAGGGGATGTCCGAAAAGGTTAAAAAAATTTGATATCATTAACTGGAAACATGCAAGGTGAATAGCTGTCGGTATATAGGGAAGACCTTAAATCAACCAGGTGTGTTTTTTTTAAAATTATATTCTTGAACTTGCCGGCACTCTAGAGAATGAGAGATGCTCCATTTTCTTGGAGAGTGCTTTGTTAATCTTCCAAAGTTTTCCCTTGTATTCTTGAGTTTCGGCTCCCAAGAGTAGGACAAGTTTGAAGCTCATGATATAATGGAGAAGTATGAAGCTCATGCATGAAATACGCATCTGTAGCAGTACTTCCAATTTCTGTAAAATCCCAATTTGAGGTATGGATTACATGCTCTCTCGGTATTGGCATGGTTCAACTTCACCCTTGTGTCGATCAGTGACTCGACTCCATGGTGTAATTGAGCCGTGCCAATATCGATTGCGTGCCAAACTCTACTTTTTTTTATTTTTATAATCAAGTGTGGGAGTGATAATTCGAACTTGAGACTTCCTTCCAATATTCTGAAGTATGATACCACTATGTTGAGAGAGAGAGATGGAGTGCCAAACTTGACTTCTTCTAAGCTATATAAACAGACATCCATCTGCAAAGCACACTGAGCTACTATATATGGTTCTTTTGTAAATAGAAAATGAACTATATTTATGCCACTCAATTTGACAATGTTTCAAAATCCAATATCCCCAATTGCATATATTTTCAATTTCCTCCAATACTCATCTCTGACTTTAATTTCACATAAGTAATTAGTATGCTAAAATCTGATAATGGTTTCATGTGGAATTAAAGTCAGAGATAATAGTATTTTATTTACATGTAACATGAAATCAAAGGGATGCATGCATGTTATACTCTACATCACAGGTTTTGAGAAGAAGATACAACGATTTGTTTGACCTTCCTGCATGATGCTTTTTTATGTGACAGCTTATGGAAGGAAATTCAGGGTTATCAACCAAGTGAGACCTATCCCGGCGAATATTTTGTCAAGAAAGACCTATTGGGCGATTGTTTTGTCGGATAAACCTATCCCGGCGATTGTTTTGTCAGAATAGATCTATTATGGCAAATTATTTTGTCAAGATAGATTTATTCTAGAGAATTATTTGTCGGGATAGACCTATCGTGGCTAATTTTGACAGGTAGGCCTAACCCGGCGAATTTTTGTTGGGCACACACACATGCACAAATATGTTTTGACAAACTTGTTATTTGTTTCACCAAAACAAAAATTTGTTTTCACCAAAACAAAAATTTGTTTTTTTTGGCAAAAATAATCAGTTGTTTATTAAACTGAATTAAAAGACCATGATCTGGCTTTTCTTAAACTTTTGAACGGGTCACGTATCACATTATAGATGTGCTCTTACAGAGGAGGAGCAATTCTGTACGTACATGCTTTACTTCTTTCAGTATTTTATATCAACAATCGCATGCATTTCATGATATCCAAGACTAGTTAAAGGTTAAATGAAATTTAATTTTGATTTTCTTATTAAATAAATATATAAAAAAAGAACTTTTTGGGGTAGCTATCATAGAAAATCTTTAAGATAACTCCACGGATATCACCAAAAAAAATAAAACTTCCATGGAAAAAAGAAATTAAATTGGAAAAAAAAAAATTCTTTTGGAAACATATCTTCTCTGGATCAGAGAAAATCTCTAACTGCCGATGGAAACGGTTGCTCAATGGAGTGATAGAAGGAATTGAAAACAACTCTAGAAATAGAAGTTATTAGCGGCTGTCTAATTGCATTGACTCATTATAAATGTATAAGATAGCGCCACACAAACCAAACCATTCCATTGAACCAACCAAACCCAAACTCTCTCTCCTTGTTCCTCTGTCTACTCTCTGTTTGATTTCTCTCTCAAACAAAGCAAACAATCACCAACAACAACAGCCCTCCTCTAAGAAAACCAGAACCAAAAACATGGCTTCAATTTCAAAGCGCTTCTTCTCCTTCCTATTTGTGATCATTTTCTCTTTACTGGGCTTTGTGGGTTTTTCGCAAGGCCGAAAGCTCAGTGGATTATCAGATCAAGAGGGTACTGGTGGTGGCAGTGGTGCTTCAATGCAATGCGTGCAGAAACTGATTCCTTGTCAACCATTTTTGAAGGCACCCGAGAAGGCCCCTGCAGCATGCTGCTCGCCACTCAAGCAGATGGTTTCCGACGATACCAAGTGCCTCTGCAGCCTCTTCAACAACCCTGGCATGTTGAGCAACCTTAACATAACCCAGGATGATGCCTTGAAGCTTCCCAAGGCTTGTGGTGCCAATGCTGACATTTCAATATGCGAAAAGGGTAATAGAGCTTTCTTCCTCTCTTTTTTCGCTGTTCAGAATGAAACGAAATCATTTAGATTCTGTGTGTGATCATATGTTTCCATGGAAAGGAAGGCAATCATTTTTATATGAAGCTCTGATATCACAATCAGTTTTCTATTGAAAAGTTGTCTTCTTTATTAGGTAGGTAATGACTAAATTCATGGAAATGGGCTTTTCCATACATTAATATATACATATGTTATACATGTATAGATATATAGGCACATATATGTAAAATCAAGGTTGTGCTTGGTCAAAAAATTGGACATCAATTATATTTGCAACTTTCCAGAGGAGCAATACCATTTAAAATTTTCATCCCTTATCCTGATTTCCCGGTATTTGTATCTGTGTTATTGGCACAAAAGCAACCAAAGCAAAAAAGTACATGCTTATAAATTTCCAATACACATGTTCTGTAAAAAACAGAGGACTCCAAGAGTTCTGTCTTCTAAATCTGTTTTTACTCATATTTGTACTATTTAGTGGCAAGTAAGAGAAGCAGACCAATTACCTTGTTCGCTAGTGAATGTTGAAATCAGTTTGTTAACAGACAATTCAAGCTTCATATATGATTGTTATTTTCCATCACAGATGCATCATCAAGCACTCCAACAGCAGCTACACCGGCTTCCAACAATAGTAAGTTCCTAGTACCATTTATTAGCTTGACAGTCAGATTAGTGTCTCTGCTGAACTTAATACGTGACATTGAAAATGGATTGTTTTCTTCTGTCAGGTTCTTCCTCAAGCAGTTCCAAGAGTGCAGCTTATGCACCCTCTCACTTTGGCGGATCGGGTTTTGCTGCCTTCTTCATGGCTTTAATCATTACATTTACAGCAATTTAGGAATGCCATTTTGGTCATTCAGTCAAGAGCTATATCATCTGTTGTACTCAAAATCTGGGAATTGATTTAAATCACCAACAACAGAGTTTGTGCCTTGTTATCTGTTTGATGATTCTTGTAATCTAATGCCAACGTTATTCCTTTTGACTGACTACACAAAAAGTTTCTTAGGTTAGTTGCTTCAAAGTTTGAATGGTTGGATGGCTCAAGTCTGCATTTCTTAGAAACAAAAACTTCCAATACTTGGCCAAGTAATTTCCAATTAACTTTCAAAGTGAAAAAAACCTAGTATCTTTTCTCTGCACTGCACATATTCTGGCATCTTGGTATTGACTTAAAATCAAGAACAATAATACTGCAGAAAACAATAAAAGCAGTTTAAACTAAAATGTGAAATTTGATAATTACCAAACTAATAAAAATGAAAACGACGTTCCTGCCTTAAAATTGGAACTAGAATTCCCAGAAATTCATGTCAAAATATTAGAAAAATCTACGAGCGTCTGAATGCAAAAGCCGCAAATGGTGAAGCGACAGCTGCAAGCATAGATGCTCACAAGTTTCGGCAACGAAAAGGGCTGACTGCGTTATCAGTCCTCAAATATAGAGGACTAGACGCGTCATTGACGCCTAAGTTGCCTTTTTTCTTCTAATTGAACTCAAATTGAATATCAAAAACAAAAATGAAAACCAAAACCAGTGAACGGATCCAAAATACGATTATAGAAACGAGAGAGAATTATGCAATCGCCAACAGACTGCTCCATCACAGCTACCATTAGAGGAAAATGAAGGTTTATAAAGAGGAATTTTTTGGGGTGTAGGAATAGTATGGCTTGCTTCGAACCCTAGTTTGGAAGTTGGAGTTGGGCCGTTAAAACAATCTTTTTGGGCATTTACATTTTTTGGGCTTCAATTGGGTTTGAAGTTTCGACCCCTTTAAACCACAAAGGTGTCTACTTTGCAACCTCACGCACTTAGAAATTCATTCTCGAATGTCATAAAGTTTGAAACTTTGAAGCAGGTATAGAGAGGCATATATAAGCTTAAGCCCTGCTCGATCACAGGCAACAGACACAACCAAATGCCAGATTCATCAATATGGCAGCAAAAACCTCCATTGCTAGAACCATAACTAAGCTTTATTGTAGTGGGTCCCCTTCTTCTTTCGCCAAACATTTGGTCCCACTACAACCACCGTCACTCTCATTATCTCCTTCCTTCTTCAGCTCCTCACCTGCTGTTTCCTCAGTACCCGAGTCTCAATCAACGCTCTCTTCCCAATCTCCAGGTGGGTCTCTATGTTCCTTTTATGTTTTCTGCTTCTGGGTCCGTCTTAATTTGATCAAAATGTTGATGCTTTATTTATTATTAAGGCTTTCCGGTTCTTTTCTTTGTTTTGTTTAGAGAGGGAAAGGTCGAGATGGTCCAAATGGCTGCTGTTTCTTCCTGGAGCTGTCTCTTTTGGCCTTGGCACTTGGCAGATCTTCAGAAGGCAAGAGAAGGTGGTGTTTTTATCTTCCTATCAAATTTAGCAATCTTGGAGATTGATCTTAGTAATACACATATTACTATTCAACAATTTTAGTTGTCCTCGTGTACGAGCTTATTTATGATAGTTAAGCTTTTTGAGCTTAAACCTTAAGAAATGGCTTGAAGCAATTACGTTCAGTATTAACATGTTGTTAGGCAAAGATGCCAGACATTGAAACTTAAGCCGACCATCATCAATAGAGGAAAGAAATTTGGTAATGAACTGGAATTAGTCCTACAAAAGTGGAATCTAGGATCTGGTTATGGAATTAGGTTTTATACTGCATCTAGTGGCCACTCTCAAGAATGATTTCCACGTGCACTTAATATTCAACCTTACAATTGCATCAAAGAATGACCCTATTAACAAGTCTCTTTTGTTACAGATAAAAATGTTAGATTACAGACAGAAGAGGTTGGAAATGGAACCTGTAAACTTCAACAATGTCTCACTGTCAAGTGAAGAATTGGATCATTTGGAGTTTAGGAGGGTGATATGCAAAGGATATTTTGATAAGGAAAGGTCAATCTATGTGGGCCCTCGTTCAAGAAGCATTTCCGGAGTCACTGAAAATGGCTACTATGTCATCACACCTCTTGTGCCAGTCTCTGACAAACCTGAGCGGTAAATGCTATTGGAGTTTCATAGATTTCACAAACCATGTTGATATAATGAACCAGCTACATATCACGTCACTTGCTTTTCTCTCTCTTTAAGTGCTTAAAGGGCCTTGACTTTTAAACAGGGTATTTTATTACATTGAGACATTTATGAGTTGTTCTTGCTTATTGTTATAGTTTCTCTTATGTTGATCCCATATTTCAAATTAAAATAACTGTTTTAATCATTTCAAGTAGCTGCACTTTGGGTTGCAATCCAGTATTAATCGATTAGTTTGCTTTCGTTAAACATTGGATTGATACCCCTTGAGAAGATCTAATCCGTTGGTTTTCTCTTGTGTGTGTGTTGTCTTAATTAAACGTGTCATTGATTATTTTCCAGATTTCTTGTGGACTGTAATCATTACCAACTGAGCAGCCCAAATGGGAATTAGTAATATTGTATTTGCACTGAGGAGTAAAAGAAAATATGATAACTCAGTTGCAAGGATTTAATGTGAAGGTGCATCTTTTATAAACTGATGCTTCAATGTCAAACTGAGGCTCTAATAGGGTTGGGTATATCCTTGGTTGGAAACAAACAGTTCTTTGTACTGGAATGTATAGGGTTCTAAGTTCTAACATTATACAGAGAACTTCAAGATTCATTACGCCTCACATAATATCATGTTTTGATAGTAATTTTATTTGTGATTGTGACTTTCAAGAAAATTGCAATGCTTATCTGTTAGCTGATCTGATGATCATCTTAAATAAAAAAATTCCAGTGTGCAGCCACCAATTTTAGTCAACAGAGGATGGGTACCCCGAAGTTGGAAAGAAAAGTCTTCAGATGTTTATGAAGATGGTGAACAACCTTCTAATGTAGCACCCTCCTCTGTTCAAGAGAATGAAAGAAGGTCTTGGTGGAGGTTCTGGACGAAGAAGTCTAAAGTCGTTGAGGTTGTTTGTTTTCATTATATCAATAGTTGTTTGATGGGGAGAACATTGAAGATCTAATCTTAATTTCGTGTAACTTTCAGGATCAGCAGACCCCTGCTTTTGCTCCTGTTGAAATTGTTGGAGTAGTTCGAGGGAGTGAGAAGCCTAGCATATTTGTTCCACCAAATGATCCAAAATCCTCCCAGTGGTTCTATGTTGATGTTCCTGCAATTGCTCGTACTTGTGGCCTCCCTGAGGATACTGTTTACATTGAAGACATAAATGAAAATGTCAATCCGAGTAACCCTTACCCGGTTCCAAAGGATGTTGGTACCTTGATTCGGAGTTCAGTCATGCCTCAGGACCATCTAAATTATACGTTGACATGGTATACTTTTGTATCTTCGTGTTAATATTTGCATTTATCAACTGATCATCTTTTCAAATTTAAAAAAAAAAAAAAAAACTGATCATCTTTTCATTTATGATGTATGCTGCTATGTGATACCTTAAATTCCTTGATGCCAAAGGGTTTTGTTTCCATTTTGTTTGAGAATTATTAGGACTTAGATGCAATCTATCTCTAATACTGGCTTTATCTTGGGCAGGTATTCCCTGTCTGCAGCAGTTACATTCATGGCTTTCAAGAGACTAAGACCCAAAAAGAGCCGGAGATAGCAGCAGAGACTTCATCATAAGAGATTTCAGTTCTACTGAATTCTCTCTATTGTATGAAAGAATATGGTCTCCGAAAATATTGAGTTGTCAAATTAATTTTGCGTGTACTGTCATCGAAATCATCAGCAACAAGCCTTATTTTTTGATTGGCAACTGGAAATATTTCCAGGTTGGATTGCCAGATTAGGCTTTGCTGATTTGAAGTTGAATGTTGGCAGCCAACAAGGAAAATAATATTTTCAACATCTGAGGACCCCTAACGCCTGTAGGAGACTTTCTATGTCGTTCGTGATGTAGAACAACGAAAATGTCTCCTTTAACACAATTTTTGTAATTTTTCTTTTTGGTAATATGATACATTTTTGTTTCGGGGTCTTCTTTGTTATTCATACCATCCCATGTTTATATGAGATTCCTTTTTCTTCTGTGTTCCTTTTACATTTTCATTCCATCTCGGTCAGGAATACAAGCCATAACTCGTAAGGAATGTGAACGCCTAACCCGTAACTGAGCATTTGAGCTGGTGCATGCCATGTGACATCTCAGGCATCTCCACAGTAAAGCTCAAACTCGATGGGAAATGGATTATTATCAAATCAAATAACATGCTCAAGTTACCATAAACAATTTACAACAAGCACAATGTAGAAATGGAAGGGGGAAAAATGTGAAAAAATGGGAAGTAAGACGAACATGACCAAAATGTCAATTTCCTTTCCTTTGATGTTGTACACTATACAGAACTGTACACGAGGAAAACAAATCAAAGAATTTACCCTCCGTTTGGATGAAAGAATTGAAAATTACATAGAATTCCAAAATGACGGAATTTAGATTTCCATCATTTCAATTTCTGGCTATTGACAATTTTAGTGTTTGGATTTATGTATGTCGAATTTTGTAAATGACACTATGGAAATTGTGAAATGATGCCTATTTTGGTGGAAATTAAACTCGGGAATTTGATGCCCCAATTTCCACAATTTTTTCTGCGTGTAATTTAATAAATTCCACGCTAAGTTGCCAAACAAGAGAATTGTCAATTTATCCTCTTAAATTTCCGACTTTTAGTTAAATTCTGAGTTAAACATGTTATTAGTCTATATTTCGTAACTTAAACTTGCTAAACAAAGCATGATGCCACTATTTAGATCTCGATGTCTATTTAAGTAGTACCATGAGGATCGATTACAAAAATGTTCCCTAACCCTTCTGTTTGTACATTCAAAATACATGACACCAAGTGAAACAAAGTACCACAAAATAAACCCAACATATGTAATCTGGTGATACCATCATCATAATCACGAAACATTTCGAACCCGCTGTCGAAAGCTTCAACCATTTCATGGTTAAACCCTGGCGATTGTTTGAATTGCTTCACAGCGTCTTTCTTGAAGTATGTGTAAGATCTTCTGCCGTTTTTCCGGCCTTGGAATGAAGTTTCAGTCTTGACCAAAAAAAAAAAAGGGTCTTCAAAAATTCAGTTTCATAAAGAAGATAACAAGCTAACAAATGGAACCGGTAGCCAAAAAACAGAAGCAGATAATGAAAATATAATATACGACTCAAAAATTAAAACAAGGTGAAGATAATGAATCTTGTCTAAAATTACATTACAAAAGAAATGCATGTTAAAATTTATGTTTATTCAAATTAAAAAGTCACAGATGCTCTAGTTTTGATGGCGTTTCCAGCTGCTACATTACTGGAGTTGGTGACTCCCTTTCCAATTTGATCTAGTTTGTAATCTCACCAGCCAAACAAATTGATCAAACAAAAACTTATTTATTGCTAGATGAATTCGTTTCAACGAGTAAACAGCAACCGAATCACTAACTCAAGTTTTGGTAACTTGAGCTTTACAGTAAAGGAAGGTTGCAAACTTGCACTGCTGATAATTGGTTCTAAAAGAAAATTACTTAAACTCAAACAAAAATATGGCAATAATCAACTATATGAAGAGTATGTACTTCCTAAACCAGCCATGGCTGCATCTGCCTCCTTTGTGGTTTTTTTTTTGTGTTTTTTTTTATTGTAAATTTTATAAATTTTATTCTATTTTTTATTATTTTTTCTTTCAATTTTATGTATTTAACTTTTAATTTATTCGAAAATACAAATATACTCTGGGTATAAACGGAGAATTGGATGAAATCATCTAAAATCTAACAGCAAGTGTGAAATTGGCCATTTCAATTAATTCAAGTGTTAAATTGGCTGACTTTTTAATTTAAGGGGTTAAGTTCGATTGGGGTCCTAGTTTGGGGAGTCTATGGAGTCTATGGCAATTTACTCTTTTAAATTCTACTTCTTTTTTAGTATTTCACTAATTAGTCACTTCGTGTTAAACACCCAATATTTTGTATGACAATAAGCAAATAATTAGAATCTGGATAGTGGGAATTACTCATTAATTCACAATATAATCAAAACCGACAAGAATTGTAAAAAAACCGTTTCAAGTTAACAGTAAATCAGCCCAACAAACCAACAAATTAATTAATTGTTTTTAAAGAACAAATATTTTCAAAGAGGGGAAAAAGAAGCATACCAGAAGATGAAGAGGAAGGATTTGGGAATTTAGGGGAGAAAATTAAAGTGTGAAAAGAGTAATAGGGGTGGGATAAGAAGGTATTTATAGCCGCCATATTTATAAGGTTAAAAAAAAGTTGTCATTTTACAATATTTACTCAAGCCGATTCCATGGCCACCAATTTCCCAAGATTTTACCAGCTGGCAGGGAAACAAACTAAATGGGAGAAATAAAAGCAATCAAAAGAATGAAATTAATATAAAACTAACAAAACCGTGGGTGGGGGGGTTAAAGAAAAGGCTCCATTCATGATATACATCTTACAAGCAAGGGAGAAACAGTCATCCCTGCATGGATTGCCTTCAGCAATGCCACAAACTTGAAAGGGCTCTCGTCGGAAAACCACTGGAGCTTCCACGTCATTGAGCCTGGAGCTATCTTCTTCTCATTTACACTTGAGTCTAAACTGTCAGCTTTGGCTGAGCCTGAGGGGCAGAACTCCGACATCGCACACTCAACAGCTAAGGTTACACACTGACTTTCCCTGACATCAACCACCTGGAAATACAGTCCAGACTATGAGCACAAATGGGGTATGATAATCCAGAACTCGCCTATTCAGTGAATGACAACAAACATGCAACTTAAGGGTAAGAGCTACAGTTAATTTAGAGGCATTACCAACTCAGATATGTCCGCAATAGAGCAACACAAATCAAGTGAAAAATATGGTGGCAACGATGCAGCCACAGATAAAGATCTAAACTGCATAAGGTCTTCAAAGCACACAAATACATGCTCTCCAGCCACAAATAATGATCTTGAAAACCATGATTCACCTGTCAGATTTGAGATAACAACGTTATCAAGCAAGAAATCATTACTGTTTTTGAAGGCCGGGCATTCTTTGAAAATTAGGCTGCAAAAGTGAAGTTCAAAGAATGTAAAGTAAAACTTCATCATTACAAGTGTTCTCGACATGCTTCCAAACTGCTTTCATCAGTAAATTTCATCAAAACTAACTATAATGTAACAAAATCTTATATTATGGAAATACCTTTATTTTAAAATTTCTTCGACATGTCTACCAAAATGCTTATTATGTATTCCCGTTCTATGTATTTCAAGTCATGACATGATTACAATACGTCGACTATTAAAAAGTAAAAACTGATGACCAGACTGAACTATCTAGACTCATACCTTCGTTATAACTACACCAAAACTGCACCATAGAATACTGGAATATGCTCACTTTTGAACCTCCACATATGTGTTTCTCAAACAACTCAACCTGAACCTGCTCCAAACTGCCATTTAAATTTCCAAAACCCCAGTCTATCATAACAAAGAAATCAAAAGATACACATCAAAATGGAATAACTTAAGTATAAAACCAAATATACATTAGACACATGCATACATAAATACATAGTCGTAAGACTAACAAAACTTTCAAAATTATATCTGAAAGGAAAAAATAACTACCTTCTTAAACAAAATTCATCATTTGGGGCAAAAGAATCAATAACTTTTAAAATAGAAAGTAATTGTCTTGATTTATCAATGCTTCTGGTTTTAAAAAGGTAGGTCACGCTCCCCTCCACATACACCCTACGCAAACAGAGAAACAAAATTGTTAGAAAAGTGTTCCCTGTTAGGTTCCATATGTTGTTTAAGTACCACAATTTACTAACCTGACAACATGGAGCCCTATACCAACTACAACCTCCCTGATGTCTTCAACCTTGTGGCACCCTTGTAAATTTAAAATAGTGCCTGAAAAACAAGATCACCCTGGAAATCAATAGCCATATAGCTAACCAAACAGAAAATTAAATTGTCCCAGTAACTATTGGCAAAAGAGAAAATTTAATGAAATATAAGTCACTCGCAAAGACCTCGTAACCAAACCTGACTCATCACCTGCAACACCAATGAGTAGCACATACAGCTTGTTTTCACTGCTAAGTAAAACAGCAACTTCTCTGCGTGTAAAATGAAAGAATATAAGCATATAAAAGCAGAAAAAGTCTGAAAATCTGACCCAACATGAGCCCCATTGTTAAAATGTACGGGAAAACCTTCATATGGATAATAAAATGTACACTTTTGAACTATAAAAAGAAAATTTCGAAAGGTTCACCTTTCTCTCTGAAGAGAATCCAGCTCAAGTATACAACAACACCACATACACTGCTTACTAATCTCATGATTTCCCAAATCTGCAACATTTGTATTGAAATAACTCTCAATAAAATCATCAATTCCTGAAGACAGGCATTCAGCCCCAGAAGATCCATCAGCATAATCAATTAGTGGGATATTACTTCTATTTTCCAGCATCTGTTTCTCATCAATGACTTCGTGGAAATCACCCCCGTAAAAATGTTGCTTCTCTTGCTTATTTTCTACTTGTGCTACATGATTATCTAGATTGCCATTTAATTTGGGTGATGGTTCTGCCTGCCTTATCATGTTTTCATCATCTAGTAGTGCAACAACTCTTCTTTTAGTTTTCTGTCTGCCTTTTCTCCTCTCCAACAAATCACCCTCTTCATTAATGCAATGAGCATTTTCAACATCATGAGCAGCAGCATGAACATCATTGATTGATGATTGCAAAGAGTGGTCCAGATTTAAAAATTCCTGCATACTGGACGTTTGGTCTACACATTTTCCAACTGAATGTTTGTCATTTTCTCTTACATGAGGAACCTCATGTTTTAAGCCATAATACTTGAAACGATCTGAATATGGGTGTTCTTCAGAATTCTTATTCAACCAGTTCTCATTCAG